TAGGTTTGCCCGCTCAAAATGTAAATCAGTCGGTAGTCGGTATTAATAATGCTTCGGCACACATCAAGAAGATTTGTAAGGTATCGATAAAATCATTGAATGATAACTTCTCTAGTAATCTTCATTGTTTTGTCCTACCATCAATAACCCAAAATGTACCTACTAGATATGTTAATTTGTCAAACTTAAAAATTCCATCTAATATTTCTCTGGCAGATCCTAATTTTCACTCACCTGCTCCCGTTGACATGCTTATAGGTGCTGATGTCTTTTGGGACTTAATAGGAACGCAGAGATTAAAATTAGGGGACGGTCAGCCGATTCTTTGTGAAACTAGCTTAGGATGGTTAGTATCAGGTCCGATAGATTATAGATATGTAAAGAAAGGGGTTAACTTTATTAAATGTAATTTTACAAGAATATTTCAAGATGAGGCTAGTAAAGATTTAGATGAAGATATACAAAAACAATTAGTACGCTTCTGGCACCTCGAAGAGGTAAGCCCTGCGTCTCTTTATTCAAACGAAGAAAAATTATGCGAAGAACACTTTTTAAAAAACACCACGCGACTGGCAAATGGTCGATTTTGCGTGAGGATACCCTTAAAACATAATCCTGACGTATTAGGTGATTCTTGGCCACGAGCTAAAAAGTGTTTACTATCGCTAGAGCGCAGGTTAGCAGGTCAATCTCAGGTCTATGAAATGTATAAAGAATTTATGTCAGAGTATGAAAGTCTGGGTCATATGGAGAAATGTGAGAATGATAATTTACCACGTAAGATGCATTTTATACCACATCACGGTGTGCTTCGGGAAAGTAGTACTACTACTAAATTAAGAGTCGTTTTCAATGCTAGCAGTCCGACTTCTTCGGGTGTTTCCTTGAATAATATACAGATGGTAGGTCCCGTGGTACAGGACGACCTTTTGTCCATTCTTTTACGCTTTCGGCTACACAAATACGTTCTCACAGCTGATGTTGAGAAAATGTACCGGCAAATAGTCATTCATCCCGATGACCGCTATTTGCAACAAATTGTCTGGCGTGATAACCCTTCAGAACAGCTTCAAGCTTATCAACTTAACACCGTGACTTACGGCACCTCTAGTGCTCCCTTTTTGGCAACTAGGTGCCTCCAACAATTAGGCTTAGAGTGTACCGATGACAAGGTTGCTCAAATGATCATTCACGATTTTTACGTTGATGACTTGCTAACGGGAGGGGATGATATTAACGAGGTTACAGATTTGCGCCGTAAAGTGACTTCCACACTTGCATCAGCTCATATGGTTTTGCGAAAGTGGAAGTCGAATGAATCTCAACTGGTTAGTGAAAATGATATTTCTCCGCTTGATTTGAATATTGGTGGCTTTGAACCGACTAAAACTTTGGGCCTTGGTTGGCAATCACATACTGACCAACTTTGTTTCCCTATAGGAGGGCTATTCTCAGGTAGAACAAAGCGTGATATGTTATCTGTGATTTCTCAGATTTTTGATCCACTAGGACTTCTATCTCCCTGTGTAATTAAGATGAAAATGCTTCTTCAACAGTTGTGGCTGCTCAAGCTGTCATGGGATGAGCAGTTGACGCCAGAAATCAGCAAGATGTGGGCTGAGATAATAGTCGATTTACCTAAATTAAATACTCTACGTATTCCACGTCGTGTTATTTGTGACTCGCCTAGTTTGTTTGAATTTCATATTTTCTCGGACGCTTCTGAGCGAGCATATGGCGCCTGTTTATATGTGCGTAGTGTTAATGATCAGGGTGAGGTTTTAATTCAATTATTGATGGCGAAAAGTCGTGTCGCGCCGCTTAAACCTATAACAATCCCAAGACTGGAACTTTGTGGTGCACTTGTTGGAGCTCGCCTTTACCAAAAGGTTGTAGCATCGCTGAGACAACAGGCTAAGCGCACTTTCTTTTGGACAGATTCGTCCATCGTGTTAGGATGGTTAAAGGTGTTACCTAGCAAGCTACAACCCTTTGTCAGAAATAGGGTTGCTGAAATATTAGAGAAGACTGGAAATTGCGAGTGGAGGCATGTCCCAACAGAGTGTAATCCGGCCGATCATATTTCTCGCGGTGTGAGTTGTAAGGATATTTCATCCATGAGTAAGTGGTGGTCAGGACCTGAATTTTTAAAGAAAGAGGTCTCTCACTGGCCTGCAAATTTCTTAAGTATTAATCACGAGTTGCCTGAGATTAAATCGTCAAATGTTATCCTCCACGGAATACTTCATTCTAGCAACAATGAAGATTTAGGTGGGAATAAATTAATTGAATTTAAACGCTTTTCTAAATATACTAGATTAAATCGGACCGTTGCTTATGTGCTGCGTTTTATTAATAATTGTAGAAAGCAATCCGTTCACGGTCCTCTAAGCAATCAAGAGTTGCAAACCGCACTCAATGTTATTATAAGAATATCCCAGAGTGAATCATTTGAGGAATACACCATGTTAATTAAAAATAAAAGTTTACCCACTAAAAGTCCGTTGCATAAATTTAATGTATTTCTCGATGATAATAAAATAATGCGTGTTGGAGGGCGTCTTGAAAATTCCGATTACTGTTATGAGAAAAAACATCCCATACTTATACAGTCCACTCATTATTTTACCAAATTGCTCTTCAATTATGAGCACATAAGGTTAATGCACGCGGGACCACAGCTAATGTTGGCCACTATAAGAGAGATGTACTGGCCGATTAGAGGTCGTAATTTGGCCAGATCTTGTTATCGACAATGTGTAAGATGTAATAGAATGAAAGGAAAAACCATCTCTCCAATAATGGGCAACCTACCACACCAACGCATCCTTTCTGGTTTTCCATTTCAAAATATTGGACTAGACTATGCGGGACCAATTCAATCTGTTTCTCGCCATGGCCGTGGTTGTAAAATTGTAAAGGTGTATATAGCTATTTTTATTTGCTTCGCGACTAAGTCAATTCATCTTGAATTAGTGGGTGATTTAACTAGCAATACCTTCATATTAGCTTTGCGCAGATTTATGTCTAGAAGAGGGAAACCTCTTAATATTTATTCGGATAATGGTACCTCCTTTGTAGCGCATACAATGACATTTCAAAATTTATTAGGACGTGTTGTAATTCTTTATCTGAGGTAATGGCAAATGAAGGAATTAATTTCCATTTCATACCGCCTTATTCTCCCCATTTTGCTGGGCTTGCGGAGGCTGGTGTCAAATGCATTAAATATCATTTAGTTAGAGTGCTGGGCAATTGTAATGTGACTTACGAGGAACTAAATACCACATTAATACAAATTGAGACTATACTTAACTCCAGACCACTCACACCTTTGTCAACGAATCCTGAAGACTTGCTACCACTAACGCCCGGTCATTTTTTGATTGGACGCCCCTTGACTTCCTTGCCGACACCAGACTATAAAGATCATTCCGTAAGCTCTTTAACCCGATTTCAACGAATAGAACAATTACGTCAACATTTTTGGGCTAGATGGAGCAAGGAATATATATCAGAGCTTCAACTGCGGATGAAATGGCGTTCCTGTAAAGGCTCTTTGAAGTTAAATTCACTGGTACTCCTAAAAGAGGAGAATTCACCGCCATTAAAGTGGAAGATGGGTCGCATCGTCGCAGTCCATCCAGGCTCGGACGGCGTATCAAGGGTGGCGGATATCAAAACATCGACTGGTATAGTTCGCCGATCATTTAGCAAAATTTGTCCGCTTCCTGAACCTGAAGAATCTGGTTGAAAGGTAGACTTTCAACGCCGGGGGGCATGTTGAAGCGCCTGTCAAATTATATTAGCAGTTCTCATGCCAATATTAGTCCGTAAGCTGTGTAGGTATGTTTAAAAAAATGTTGTACCTGTCGTCGTTGTAAAATTTAGAGATCAAGTAAAGGTCGATTGAGCAAATTACTGCATTTTACTATTAAAAAGAGATCAAATTCCTATTCAGTAGGGGTATTTGGATTCGTAATTTTTGGTATTTTGCAACGACACGCCTGCCATTTTCAATTTTGTTTCCTTTCAGCTGGCATAATGTTGTAAAAATATTTTTCCGTAACATTTGCGCAGTTTAAGTCATAATAATTTTTACATAGTGCACAAGAAAGATGTTGTCTTCCAGGTATTTCTTGCATACTACCTGCACATTTATTTTTCTCACTGTTCATTTTTAATATAATTGACAGCACCCTCTTGTGGTGGATAAAAGTTGTATAGACAGCAGATATGATGCGTTGTTATTAGTTCTTGTGTTCCAAACTAGATATCGCTATTTATATTATAATTTGCAATTTCTCTACTTTCCACTAGATGGCGTTTTTCGTACAATCTTTTTATGTGTGAAAACGGCGGGTATATATTATATAGATTTGAAATGTACTGGTTTTAATATTATATGGAAATAAAGTTTTATGATCACTAAATTGTTTTAGCTCATACACTGTTTATTTGCGTGTAATTAGGCTCACCTTTTTATCACTGTCACCTAAGTTTTGCATAGTATTTATTTAGTTTACACGAATAATTTTACACAACTGTTTTTAACTGTTTTTTATAGTATATCGATATATTTAGCACTGGATAACACTTGTACTTGTTTACTACTACTAAATATTTGTTTTAAACTACTTTTGACATTTCACTAAATTGCTTTTATAATTTTTTTAGCGAGAAATACGTAGAACTATTGTTTACAAACTGAGCAGCGCCCTCACAGCGCCCTCTCAATGCAACTCTCAATTCAACTTATTAGATTTAGTTGCTCCAATTCGAGACCATATACGGCAAAAACTCGACTTCAGACACAAGTTTTTTCCGGTACTCGGCGACGTTTTCCCGAGAAATATAGGAACAGCCGGTGTATAAAGCATCACCAGTGCAGGTTACTGGTTTCCAACACATTTAGTTTAGTTTAGTTTAGTTTACGACGGGCTGTTTTCCGCAACTCCACGTCTATGCGCGTATTTTGCGTGTGGGCAGGAATAATGTGATTATTCGAGCCATGAGATCTCTCCGAAGAAGCTCAACAGGCCCTTGATGTTGCATGCAACTTCGGGGAGTGATCCCGGCGTGCCGAGATGTTTAGCCCTGTATGTAGCGACCTCCGGACATTTCAGTAGCACGTGGGCCGCCGTTTCTTCCTCCCCCATACATGCCCTGCACAGGGGACTATCTGTAACACCTATAGTAAATAAATGTTTGTTAAAGGTGCCGTGTCCTGTGATAGCACTTGTTACTATCCTAATCTGCGGCTTGTTCAGTCTCATTAAAACTTTTGTTAAGCGACTGTTAATTTCAGGCAGGGCATCCCTAGCTTGTCTACAGTCTACTAGATTTTTCCAAAGCTGAGCGTGTTGATTAGTGAAGTGTCTACGTACCAGTGAACAAACGTTACCAAAGGGGATTGGTATGATTGGTTCCGGCCCTATAGTGGCCAAAGCCGATCCTCTTCTAGCCAGTTCGTCTGCTGCATCGTTGCCTCTGGATCCACTGTGTCCCTTTATCCATTGCAGGGTCACATTGTTGTTTTTACATACCTCATTTAATCGTTGATGGCATTCATATATTAGTCCCGAGTTCACCACATTGCATCTCAGGGCTTGGAGTACCGCCCTACTGTCGGTCAGTATTCTGATGGGGAAGTCATTAACCTTCCTAGCATCTATTGCTATGGCCGCTTGAATGATACCCATACATTCCGCCTGAAAGACCGTGTTATAGGTACCCAGCGGTGTGCATATGTGAATATTGAGGTCTTCAGAGAAAGCTCCAGAACCTACACCTTCATTTGTTTTAGAACCATCGGTGAAAATTCTAAGCTCTTTTGGGCTTAATCCTTCCGGCTGGCTGTTTTCATTTAACTGTATCTTGTATTTCTTATCGAAAACAAATTGTTTAGGAATCCTATCGTATTTGGCTTGTAGGATAGGAATTTTTGAGTGAATTCTATCAATTATGCCTGTATGAGGGACACTATTCTTACTCCAAAGATTTAGGGTCTTGAGTCTGATGGCAGCTAAAGTCGCTTCTTGTTGTATATGTAGATGAAGCGGAGTTAGCTCCAGCATCGCTTCTAAGGCTGCTGTTGGCGTAGTTCTCATGCAGCCTGTGGCAGCCATACATGCCAGTCTCTGGTAGCGCTGAAGCTTTTTAATTATGGTGGCTTCATTTGTCTTGGTCCACCATACCAGAGCGCCGTATGTGACCATGGGCCGAATTACAGTTTTGTACAGCCACAGTATGATTTTTGGCGTCAGACCCCATCTTTGCCAATCATGTTTCTGCATTGCCAGAAAGTTATACTAACTGATTTTGTTTTCTATGTGTTTTTTCCAGTTAAGTTTGCTGTCCAAGGTAAGACCTAAACATTTTACGTCAGAGGATAGCTGGAGTTTTGTGCTGAAAAGACTTGGGAGATGATAGTTATTCAGCATTCGTTTTTGTGTGAACATTACTAGAACCGTTTTATTTGGATTGACGGTTAAGTCGTATTCCCTGCACCACCTCACCACTATAAGGAGAGCCGCTTGGGTCAGGTCGCACACTATGCTTGCTGTCTTTCCAGAGACCAGTATTGTCAGGTCATCAGCATAACCTACTGTATAGAAGTGATTGTCATTTAATTTGCTGATGAGTTCATTAATGACCATATTCCACAGGAGAGGTGAGAGAACCCCACCCTGCGGGCAGCCTTTCTTAATTTGGATTGGTTGAGATTCACCAGCAATCTTTATTATTCGTGTACTGAGCATGTAAACTATCCAGTCGATCAGTGCCGGTTCAACTTTGTGTCTACCGAGTGCACCTTTTATGCTGGAGAAGTTCGTTCGGTCAAAAGCACCTTCTATATCTATGAAGGAACCTAGACATATTTCTTTGTTTTGGATGGCTTCTTCAATCTTTGTAATTACCTTATGAAGGGCCGATTCTGTTGATTTGCCTAGACTGTAGGCGTGTTGCTTGTCGTGTAGTGGTAAGTTCATTAGCGCCGACCCCCTTAATTCCCTTTCACACATCCTCTCCATCGTCTTTAGGAGAAAGGATGTGAGGCTAATGGGCCTGTAGGATTTAGGGTCAGTGTAGTCGCTCTTACCTGGTTTGGGTATGAATGTAACTTTCACTTCCCTCCATCCCCTAGGAACATATTTAAGAGCAAGACAGGCTCGCATTATGGCAGCAAGTCTGACTATTAGGGCTTTACCCCCCCACTGTAGGAGTGCCGGGAATATGCCGTCGGGTCCTGCCGCCTTATAGGGGAGGAAACTGTGAATGGCCCAATGGATTTTGTCCATCGTTACCACTCTCTGTGCTAAATTCCAGTCTTCTGCTGTTGATGTCAGTATGTCGTCATGCCGGTTTGCCTCCTGGGTTACGCAGCAACCTGGGAAGTGCGTTTCAATTAGGATGCGTTGGGCTTCATCCGGCGATGTTGAGTAGCTACCGTCGGGTTTCTTTAGAGACATGGATCCCGACGTGTTCTGTTTAGCTAGAATATTCCTAATCCTATTTGCCTGTTTGCAGGTTTCTATGTTGCCACAGAATTTACGCCACCCAATCGAGCGTCGATACCTGATACATTTTTTGTATTCAGACTTAGCTTTCTTATATAATAGCCAGTCTTCATCCATTGAGGTATTCATGGCCCTATTTAGAGCTTTTCTTACCTTCTTACGTTTTCTATCGAGTTCTTTACCCCACCACGGTTGTTTTACCTCGGCATGTCTTGGTGGAGTGATTTCTGGACATGATTCATGGTAGCTGTCTATCATGGCCTTAGTAACAGCTGCTACCTGTTCTTCTAGGAGCGACTGATCTGCTATAGTATTTATCCCCTCAAAATCCGCTAGCAAAGACGTCAGCCTATTTAGGTATTTTGTTTTATCTGTCTTGCGGGGATTTCTCCATGGTGGTGTAGAGGGGATATCGACCTGTAGTGCGAAGCAGATCCATCTATGGTCTGAGCATGAGGCCTCTCTCGACACATGCCATCCCGTAATTAGTTTGGCTGCTCCTTCTGTTGCAAGTGTGAGGTCGATTATAGTGCGACAGCGTTTGTTTATGAAAGTAGGTTCAGAACCTATGTTTAAAATGGTTAGGTTAGTACTAAATAAATATTCAACTAAAACTTTACCTCGTTCATTTGGTTTTTCCATTCCCCAAAGGGGATGATGTGCGTTGGAGTCCGTCCCGATCACAACCTCTAGTCCGGTCCTCTCGCAGAAGTTTACCAGCCTGCTGAGGTCATGAGGGGGAGGAGTGTCTTCCTCCGGCATGTAGACCGAGGCGACGACTAATCTACTCTCCTGTGTGTACTGTATTGCTACGGCATACATGTCTCTAGAACAGAAATCTGTTAAAGGTTGTGCACAGATATCTTTAGTAGTGTAAATACACGCTCTAGGCTTGTCGTGTTCAGAGCTGTAGAATAACTTACCTTTTAGGTTGTTTAGGCCTTTAATTTTACCAGCCCCAACCCATGGCTCCTGGATTAAGGCTATGGCAGTCCTTTGAACCTCCAACCACTTGCGTAATTGAGCCGACGCAGTTTCGCTGTGGTGGAGGTTGGCCTGCACTAGGCTAGTTTTGGACGAAGGGCACGCCATCATTGATCGCGTCCTCCCCGTCCCCGCCCAAAAATAGGCCTGCCAGAAGATCTCGGGTTTCATCGTCAGCCACCGAGTCGGAGGTGGTCGGCAAAATGCAGTCCTCCTCGTCACTCAGTGAGCTGCCGCTGAGCCCAATCTCCACTGGGGGCTTCGGCTCAATTGTGCAGGCCGTTTCTTCACTGGACTTGGCCTCCAGTGATTCCGCTGTACCGGTAACTATGGCTCCGGTATCCATAACTTCCGGGTTGTTTTCTACCTCTTTGCTCGGTGGAGTATCAAAGAATTTGCCTCCACGACCCTGGAATTTTACGTATACCGCCCCGCATACACATGCGAGACGGCGTCCGGCCTTCATCAGGGTCGGGATATGATCCTCCGGCACCGAAACAACGAGGAACCACCCGTCCGTCTGCTTATCTGCCTTGAGTAACAGCCAGTCCCTGATGTTAACCCAGCGGTTCTGGTACGCCAACACGCGACCAATGTCACGTGAGTCTTTCCAGGCCCCCTGGGCATCAGGGATAAGGATACCACATTTAACTCTTTGTGGTATCTCTGACTGTTTCTTTATTGTCAGCAAGGTGCTGGATTTAAGGTCGAGGGTAGCAATGTTCCCCTTCAACCAGTCCAGAGCCTTCTGATCGTCGCACCACAGTTTCAGGACACCTTCCGTATAAACGGGTTTGCCCCTAAAAACTGGGCCCGACGCATCAGGGTCCTGGCTACTCCAGGCCTCGCTGATCATCTTCCTCTGTATTGCTACGAGGATGTCGTCTGCTACTTCCTTCGTAATGTGACCTGAACGCGCACACGTTAAGGCCACACCCAAATCTGCTTTAGCAGCGGAAGCGTAGCTCGTTCTTGCAGTCTTTGGTTGCTGTTCGAGTCGCACTTTTTTGTGTTCACCTCTAGGCGAGGTGGACTCTTCCAGCATCCTTTTGGCTTTGCAACACATTATTGATAAACAGAAGAAATAGCACATAGCCTTGTAGAACACCAGCATAAATAGGCTTGTAAATGGAGCATACTCCTTCTACTACGACTTGCTTGCTCCAGTCTGTGAGAAAACTGCTGATCCAGTTGCACAAATTCTCGGGAAGCCCATAGAAAGGGAGCTTCGAAAGAAGCTCTTTGTGCCAAACCCGATCGAAGGCCTTCGCTATATTTAAACTTACAGCCAGGTTCTCCCTCTTTGGCTCCCCCGATTTATGAGTCAGGTAAGCCAGAAGATCACCAGTTGCGCAACCGTACGAAATCGTACCGGCGGTCACTTTTCAGTTGGTGATTCTAAACCTCATGAGCTAGTAGCTCACAATGGTTTTCATTTTTTGGAGAACAATTTAGATAGGTCTGGGCGGTCGATTTTCGGTTATTTTTTAAGGATCTGGTGCACTTGCTGCTCTTTTTTTTCTTCTTTTTTTTTGAGTTCGGAACTACGCCTAGGGAGAAAGAGTTTTTGATAAGACACGTTACGACTGGTGCCAACTAGGGAGCACACGTCTTCAGTACAATAGGAGGAACTCCATCAGGCCCTCTCTACTTGACTTGTCTAGGGATAGTAGTGCTATGCGAACCGAGCGCTGTGCAAACCGTATTGTACTGACCTGAAGGTGAAATTATACTTCTTTTTAACAGCGCTGGTGAAGCACTCCTATTATAGCGCGATCCAATTTTACAGGAGTGACCAAACCAAGCACCACAGATGATAGAATAAAGAGTTCCATTCCCTAAAGTACCACAGCAGCAACAATCACGTTGGGATCATTCGGCGAGAAGCATACCCTCTCCTGTCCTTAAGGGAAGGATGCAAAAAAGACCGCATTCTGTCCCGATCGGCCGACCTATATTGCCAAACACGACGGCGATCTGCAGAACGCAACGGGGATGGGAGTTTGAGTGGCACCATAGTCAGGATCAGACAATAGTCCAATGAGCCAAGAAGGGCATCGACGGAAACCTAATATCCGTCCGGATGAGAGGTCAGCAGAAGGTCCTACAGGGAAGGTGCACGATCCCCCACGGGAGCGGAACAACTGCAACACCAGGGGAATTGCAGGTGCGTTGGCGGCCTTTTAAAAAAGAGGAGACTCAATTCTTGAAGGTCCTTAAGTCGTGTTGGTCCAGAAAAATTGCTGATGCTATTCGATTCCATAAGAGAAGTTGTGCGAGGAAGAAAACTTCTTCTAAATTGCAGAGTAGTGGACCGCCAATCATCCAGATGGTACGGATGATATTTCTATTTCGAGTGCTGTCGCGATGCGCGATGGTGAAATTGAGCGGCTGGAATTAGTCCGAACAATTCCTCCGAGCACTCCCCGTGGCCCATGGTAGATACAAAGAGATGCAAAATCTCTTCACAGAGCCAGTGAGGTAAGCCGATCAGAAAGAGCTCAGTCGCCGACGATTCGGACCGCTCTGTGCTGTCAAATGAAAGGAGTTGGTACTGAGGAGCCCCGGCCCAGAGATGGGAACAGTATTCCATGTGCGGCTGAACCTGCGCCTTGTAAAGTTGCAGGCGGTGTGCCAGCATGAATTAATGTCCCGCTCTACTGAGCACACCTAGCTTTTTAGAGGCCAATTTGGAATTCTCTTTCAAGTGACCACGAAACTGCACGTCATTCGATATGTCGACGCCGAGGATTCCGATACTGGCTGAAGAACAAGAGGAATGCCCTGAAACTGAGGAGACACGACAAAGACGGTTTATTTGCGGTAAACGCGCAAACTTGAGTCTTCTGGGGATTGAACTAGACTAGATTTAGTCGCCACCAATCCGAGACTTAGTACAACAAGGTCTCGACTTCAGACACAAGTTTGTTCCGGTACTTGACGACGTTTTCCCGAGAAATATTTGCTCGGCCGGTGTATAAAGCATCACCAGTGCTATCGTCCGCATATCAATGAATGTTACCGGTTTGCAACATATTGATATGCAGAAGAAACAGCGTTGGTGATAGCACGCAGCCTTGTGGAACACAAGCGTTAACAGGCTTATAATCGGAGCCTGCACCATCTACTACGATGTCGTACTACGACCTTGATGCTCCGATAAGCCAGAAAACTGGTAATCCAATTGCACAGTTTCTCCGGAAGGCCATTAGAAGGAAGCTTCGAAAGAAGCGCTTTGTGCCAAACCCGATCGAAGGCTTTCGCTATGTCCAAACTAACCGCCAAAGCGCTCATCTGTGTGTTAGGTAAACATGAAGATCACCACCTGAGCGACCCCGATGGAAACCGTACTGGCGCTGAAAAATCAGCTAGCGCTGCTCAAGGTAGTAGGAGTACCGAAAAAGACGCGTTAGAACCGGTGCTAACTCTGTAGCGCACCTCCTCAGCACAATTGGCGGGATTTCGTCAGGCCCACTCGACTTGTGGATGTCCAGGAAAAGGAACTGTGCTGCGAACTGAGCACTGTGTGAATCGCACATCAGGCGTAGAACACTCACACGGCGCCCCCCCCCTCCTCATTGAGTGTTGATTTGGACCCCCTCATTGAGAGTCGACTTGGACGCAAAAAGGGGGCCTAAAACGTCAGCTTTCTCTTTTGCGGCGTGGGCCAGTGAGTCGTCCCCCCTGTGCAGAGTTGGTAGTGATGGCTTACAGAAATTCCCTTGGACTGCCTTGGCGAGAGACCAGAATGCACGGGTTTCTGGGAAGGCGAACTAATTTCTCGCGAATTCTGCCAATACGCTCATACTTTGCCTTGGCAAAACTCTTTTGAAGGACCTGGAGGCGAAGTTATACTTCTTTTTAAGCATGCTGGTGTTTACATCCCGAACCACCGAAGCGTCAGCCCAGGTCTGATAACACTCCTACTTACTGCGTAATGCAGTCTTACAGGAGCGACCAAAGCAACGCTGATATCTGCCTCCGATGGGTACCACAGATGATGGAATAAATAGTTCCATTGCCTATAGCATCACATCAGTGACAGAATCAGCAACAGCGCTGGGATCATCTGGCGAGAAGCAAACCCGCGCCCATGGGTAGGATCCCAAAGAAAGACCGCATTCCGTCCCAATCCACCGACCTGTAATACCAAACACGGCGGCAGGCTGCAGAACGCAACCGTGAAGGGAGTGTGATTGGCACCACACTCCGAATCAGACAATGGTCTGAAGAGCCGTCGACGGAAACCTGATATCCGTCCGATTGAGAGGTCAGCAGAAAGTCCAACAAGGAAGGTGGTATGATCCTCCACATCTGGAATCCGCGTAGGCGAAGTAACCAGTTGTGTCAGACAGACCAAGACAAAGTCATAAACAGATCTTCCCGCATAATCGGTTAAACGTGAACCGAGCCATTCGGCGTGGTGGGCGTTAAAATCACCATGTATCACGATGTCTACGGATGGGATCTGTTGTAGCAAGAAATCTGTAGCCATTTGGACGTGGTCGGTGTGTGTCGACATTATTGCCTATGGTACCTATAGAGACACCCGTAGACGTGGGGATGATCGTCGCAGTCTACGCGCAGCCGAATGATGGACAGGTACCTTCAAGCTTGCCCAGTTTAGAGTGAAGTCGTCGATATGCCCAGTTTCGAGTGATAGCGTGGCAAGGGTCGCCATGGTTTTATCGCTCTGTTTGCCCGTGCAGTGTTAGTAGTGAGTGGGATTTAAAAAAGAATTGTTCTGAGGTGTGAAATGTGACATTTGTTAATCCGATGTGTTGGACTGGGACTCCACAGATTAAATATCTAAGAATATAGGCACCCGTTCTTAGGGCTTTAATTTACTAAACTTAACCCAGTCTTTGAATTAAAAGCGTGATAAATAAAATAATATTTTTTAGTAATAAATAATAATGCTTGAGTTTAAAACATATGTTTAAAATGTAAAAAAAAAAAACTCCATAATCAATAATTATTAAAATACTTTATTGACAATTACTTCATAAACAATTTACATAACATATCTGAATAAACTATTCGAACAATTTAATCTTTGTGCATAATACATTCTTCGTTGAAATTTCGTCAAATTGAAGGAGCATTTTTAAAATAATAAAAATTAGCAATATAACTAATAGTTAAAGCATGTAAAATGACACAATTTTCACTTAGTCGTAATATAATCATAGGGTGTAAACTAATATGTCGGATATTAAAGAAACCGGCAGTCTTAAAATTATTTAAAATTTGACAGGTTTTGTGGTGACTTACATTCTATTTAAACATTTTTATTTTTTACATATTACGGGTTATAAATATTAAGTAACCTTTATTAGCACCTGTTTGTTTCATCTATCTATGATATATATAGTTATTATGGAGTTATAATCAATTTAAAATATTTTAAGCAGAGAGCTTTACACACTTAGCTTGACTTACTTAAATCATCTTGAAATGAATTTGGTAAGACATATATCCTGCCTAAACTAAAACTTTCAATAAATGCGGTTATATAAAAATAAAACTGCTTTATTGTGGCGTCAATAATTTGGTATAAAAATTGCACAGCAATGTTTAAAGCTAATGTAATTTATTCTAAGGAAAAGATCATCATGTTCCTCACTTTAAGATGTAATATTTCATTCTTTCGTTTACACACAATTTACATTAAGTATTGATACTTTGAAGAAAAAAAAAACGCAAGATATTAATCCCGTTATATTATAAATAATTATATTTTAAGTTTTTTAAAGAAAATATTTCAGATCTTAACAGTTTCCATGTCCGCGAAATAGACACAATATTTAAATAATCGGAACGTTCATATATAATTCATAGGACAGGGAAAGGTGGGTGACAAACGAGCACACAGTCCACCTGATGGTAAGTGGTTGCTGCGGCCCATAGACATCTACATCTATCCTCGTTTGCGAATCAAAATGCAGATGCGTTGTCACCCGTGAGGACTAAGATGGAATGCCTCATTTCCAGTAAAAAGGGCCTCCGGCCACCTGCACTCACCAAGCGAAACGCAGAGGTAAACCTCTACTTCACGCTGGTATTCTGTGAGGTCGTGGTACCACCCCGGTTCGAGCCGGCCCATCCGTGCGACAGCAAAAGCTGCCGCGTGGCTCTACCACTGTTAAAAAATTATAGAAAATTACATTGGAACAGACTGAAGTGAGTATCACGATAAATTCCCATGAACATTTCCACATTTTCACAAAATTTTGCATTTGCCATAAAATTAGGTGTTTTACATTTTAATTCATTTATTTTGTGCAGTACTTCTCTTGTGAAATAGATCTCAGTTATGAATCACGGTAGAGACAAAGACCACAGTGTATTACAGAAGAGCCTAAGATATTTGCAGATATTTACAGTATACTGCTCTAAGCTGTGACCGGTTTTAACAAGCCTAAATTATATCAAGAGCCAGATCTAAGTACGGGTTTGCGAAGCAGCAGTGCGGAGTCGGCTGACACTATAGGCAGCTCATTGGTGCAGTGGTACTTGATGAGATGCGGGACACTCTCGAATACTCTGTCCTTTGTTCTCACCTGTAAAATGTTTTATGCATGAATGTGTTTCCTTGAGCAGAATCAATTTTTACCATAACAGCCTGCCAGGCTACTGCTGAATGCTGAACATAATCCCCATAGATTGCCTGTTATGGGCTGCAGTATCCACTTTTTATTTTATTCACTTTACGTTTTATCAAGCAGACTGTTTGGTTCATTCATTACAGCCTAATAAAGTCCAATACTGAACATATGCCTTCCCAAAAATTGCCTCATATCCTATGTGCAGCAGAGGACAACTGGATCTAGATCTGGTTGTTTTAAGGTGGAACTTCACGAAATACAGTTACTGGATAAATGTGAAACTTAGTGTAAAATATTGGATGTATAAACAAATCGCTCACTTATTGCAAGATAGTGATAACTCAAAAATCGTCATTTTACAGGAGAGCAGTTTTAAACTTTGTACTTCATGTATTTTAAAAATAAAACGGTATCAATTTATTAACTTTCTCACATTGGTTGTATATGTTAATGAACTTTTAAAAATAAATAATAAATGTATGTTTTAAATGTACTGTGTTCACATGATAAATAGAAAAAAACCATGCGATACTCACTTGTCATTGTTGCAGAAAAAATTTGCTTAGTTATATTACAGAAAATAATAAAGGAATAACATATGATTTATATTAAGTTAAAATCATATTTCAGAAAAAAAATCGAAATAATATAATGATATAAACCTTATTTTTGAGATCTTTAATTTTATTTCTGTCATGAAATAAAACTAATTTTACGGATTTTATCGCGTTTAATTCCCGTCACTTCGGGAACTTTCCAGCAAGTCTATCAAATCTGATATAATGGTTGGGACGATCCTGAACATGTTAACATACATAACGTCTAGACTCACACACATCCTAAACTTGAAAATAGTTTTTTATGTTATAGAAATTTTCGTGACTTAATTCATGGACTTCAAAAGGCGTTCCATTTCTTTTACCCATTTTTATAGTAGTTATAGAAGATACGAGTGTATGGGACAACTTCTTATATTATGGCATTCAATCTGTCGTTAAATTAATAAGTGAATTGAATCACATTCAAAAACATTAAGTTCTTTTTTGTTCTGTCATTTTCTTTGTCTAATCTTCTTTTTGATGTCTGTCATAATTTTATTTTAATATTTTTTTCTGTTTCTTCTTTCTGGACTACTAGATATCGTAGCTGCTAGCATATTGCTTTCAACTATAGCTGAATGTATAGAAGAATATTATTTTTCACTAGAACTACTACTTTCTGTATTTTTTTCTTTATCCGAACGGTCGCAATCTTTTTTGGGATAGAAAGGTAGAACTGCTAGTTGAAGCTATCGAACAACAATTTCGAATATCTAAAATTTCATTAATTTCGATAATGTAATAATTAAGTAAAAATAATGTACATGGTGTAATAGCGGCACAAGAATATCCACTATCCCATTTCTTCCTGCAAGAGGCAACGAAGGGAAACTGAAACAGGTGATGGGCAGCACCACTCTAATTAACTAAAAAAAATTGCAGTTGCCTACTCGCTTGCCAAGCGCGGCAACTATAGCAAGCATGTTAGTATCCAATGGATGAATGGTGACTCGATCTTCTTTGTATTTCCTATTATCGTCACGATTGTTAACAAGATCAACTAATAGTCGCCCTCGAGCAGGCTCAGAAGGGCTAGATCCTAGAGCCCTAAAGCCAGTTATTAAGAAGAAGAAGAAGGGTGACCTTGAACTATCTCATGTATAATTCAAAAACTTGAAAGTTTAAATATGAAAACGAAAAAATAATTTGACATTAATGTGACGCCACAACTGTTAAGTGTTGCCAAGGGCATGAAATCTATTTACCCATATTTTTAGCTTTTTAAAATCTCTCGAAAAAAAAAAACGAGCTATGACTTAAGTTTTATTAACATGAACGATGATTGTTTTTGCGATTTCAATGCGGTTTTTATAGTTTGTATGTATTCTTTGAGACATGGGTCGTATTTTAGGAGCATTAACGGTTACTTTGTCGGAAACCTAAACCAGGAACACCAACGTTCAGCACACTTCCAATTTTGCTATAGAATCTAATCCTTGAAAATATCAGCTTTGATATGAAAATGACGTCGCATTATGACCTATAACAATTATCGATTGGGCTGCTGCTGCTTACTACCTATTTAAATAAACCCAAAAACCTTGTGTAGGTTTATGAAATGTTTGTAAAATTTACAAACATTTCATAAACTTACACAAGCACACCACACAGCGATTGCAGATGAAAAATGACACTAATAAAAGCAAATAACGTTAAAAATTAGCAACATTAATGATGAAAATTATCCTTTACACTCAACTTAAAATATTTAAAAACTCCCACGTTTTTGGGGTAATTCTGCGCCTCTGGTATTACACGCGTATTGCACACAAACGCAAATGCGATAAGTAATATACTCGAGAGCGTTGCGTTCACTTACACACGTATTTATATAATCTAAGGATAGAACGTTATTGCAATAAAAATTATGACACCAAGCAATAACGTGCAATTACGAAACTTCTCGCCATCTAGCGACCTCAAGATTTTAAGAAATGACGTTCTTGCAAGAAGTGAGTGATCTATCTCAAACAGGACATTTACACGTTAACATTGTAGGCAAATATAAGCTACATAATTTTTTTCTTTTATTTACACAAATACTTAAGACACAAGATTCCGGGTTTAGCGCTAAAAAGAACTCCTTTGTCATATCTCCTCAAATTCAGGGCACTCCCCTTGTTGCCTCAGTCATCATCGGAATCCTCGGCGTCGACATATTGAGTGATGTGCAGCTTCGTGGTCACATAGAAGGGAATGCTAAATTGACCTCAAGAAGCTTGGCGTCGTCCGCAGAGCTTCACAAGGTAGGTTAGGCCTCACATGTAATACGGTTTCCATCTGTGGGATGGGACTCCCCAGTGCCAGCTTCTTCCACTTGACTACATCCAGCGCGGAGTGGTTCCAATCGTCGACACCGAGTTCTGTCTGATCGGCTCGTTTCACTGGCGCTGGTTAGAGATGATGCATCCCTTTGCATTTTTTATCGCATTTACCACGGGCAGTGCTCTGAGAAATTGTTTACCACCACCGATTTTACCGGACCGATACAACTTAGGGACCTTCAAGAAACGAGCTTACTCCTTTTTGTAAGGCCAGCAACACGCCTGCAATTCCCTGGTGTTACAGTTGTCCATAGGCGGCGGTCTACACATACCATCAGGTTTCATACTAGTTTTCCCCCTCTTCTATATAAAAATACTACACATTGGGGCTAATAATTTTCCGCTCACCAGATGTCGCTAGTTGGGACTGAGGTGAAGTTTTTTGTTACACAATGTTATTTTTAACTGAGCAGTTCATCATCATCATCATTATAGCACTTCGCAAGTACACTGCTGAATATAGGCACCCCCCAAGGAATACCACAAAGCACGGTCCTGAGCCACTTGCATCCACCGACTTCCTGCATGTCATACCAGGTCGTCACTCCGTGGGGACGCCCTACATTTCGCCTACCGGTACGAGGCTACCACTCGAGAAACTTTCTTCCCCATCGGTTGTCGGTTCTTCGAGCTATATAGCCGGCCTATTGCCATTTCAGTTTACTAATCCGTTGGGCTATATCGGTTACTCTGGTTCTACTGCGGATATCCTCATTTCTAAATTTATGACGCACAGAAACCCCGAACATAGCCTTCTCCATAACTAGCGACTTTGAGCTTCCTCATACGGCCAGCAGTGAAGGACCACGTCTCAGTCCATAAGTCATCACTGGGCAACACGCACTGGTAGTACAATCTCGTTTTCAAGTTTTGAGGTATATCTGTCGTAATCTCCCGAATGCTGCCGAGTTGAATCCGATTAACCCTTCGGTCAAAGTTGGCCTTACCTAGTCGGACTATTTGTCCCAGGTAAACATACTCGTCAACATCTTCAGGCTTAGTGCTCCCAACAATTACCGGCATAGGCGTGACATGGACGTTAAACATGATCTTTGTTTTGTCTATGTTCATCTTAAGACCTATCCGTTGAAAGGCACTATTGAGGTTATTGAGCATAGTGCTTAGGTCCTCCAGGGATTCTGCCATAAGGACAATGTATATTGTTGGCAAATTGAAGGTGAGTGAGTTACCCGCCATTGATGTTAGTACCGTATCCTTTCCAGTCCAGTAGCTTGAAAACGGCTCAATGCAGCGGTGAAGTTTCGGGGAAATAATGTCACCCTGTCTTATACCTCTCTGCGGTTGGATAGGTTTCGTACTCTGGTTCTGTACTGTGTTAGCCATCGTAGCCCTACTGTACAAACATTTCAGCACTTCAATATACCGACACTCAACTTGGCACTGCTGAAGGGACTGTAGCACCGCGCAAATTTCAATGGAATCAAAGGCTTTCTCATAGTCCACATACGCAAGAACAAAGTGGCATATTGTACTCTTCGGTCTTCTGTACAATTTGCCGAAGGGTATGTATGTGGTTTATGGTGCTAATGCCTTTTCGGAAACCGGCTTGTTCCGGAGGCTGGAAGTCGTCGAGTCTGCGTGCGAGACGATTCGTAATGACCTCTCAAAAACAGCACGTAGACGCGGCTCAGAACGGAAATCGGTCCGTAATTCTTTAAGAGAGCGTTGTCGCGTGCCTTGAAAGAGAAGACCACCGCACTTCTGCTCCAAGCCTTCGGAGTAGTGCCCCCCATGGAGGACGAAATTAAAGAGCTTCTGAAGGACTTCAAGCACTGGTTTTCCACCCGCTTTCAGAAGCTCCGCTGTAATTGCATTCTCGCCCGGGGACTTGCCGTTTTTAAGGTACTGGAGAGCCATTCTCGGTCAGTCTGACGTCCGGGATATCATCGGAATAGTGTCGAATAAGATTTGCGTGCGGTTCCAGCGATAACGTGTACAGCTGCCCATAGAACCTCTCAATCTTACTCAACATCTCAGGTGTCCCGGAAAGGATGTTGCCACACTTGGACTTCAGCTTCGACAATTGGTTCTTTCTGGCAGACACATTGTGGGAAAAGCTTTGGAGCCCTGTTACCGCTTGATCGCTTCTTCAATACGAGCTGTATTGAAATTGCGTAAGTCCCGCCGCATACGTTTAGAGATCTGTCTGTTCAGTTACCTGTATGCTGTTAAATCTGTTGAAGACTGCAGCTTCATTTCCCGTCTAACAGCCATGAGATCAAGTGTGATCGGAGAGATTTTGTGTTTTTCTGCGGCGGGTGTTACAGAACTCAGCTCCGAGTGCATGGATAGTTTCCAGGAGCTTGTCATTCATATCGTCCACAACTCGAGCTGAAAGTTTTCGGGGCTTTGGATTAGAGCACGACAGGGACGGAGCGTTGACTTCATTAGACGTGACCTCTCCAACTTAACGTTTAGGTTCAATGTGCCTCTCACTATTCGGTGATCGCTGCTAGTGAGGTATATTATCTAGTTGCCACCCTCGTGATCATAGAGACATCACTGAACAGTTGCCGTCTAGTCGTTATAATGAAGTCAATCCCATTTTTTGTCGATCCGTCGGGGTTCCAGGTCCACTTCCTGTGGGGCCGCTTCAGGAAGAAAGAGTTCATCATAAAGAGTCTCTCTTTCTGCATGAAGTCGGCCAGCTGCTGGCCCCTTTCATGGTTTCATTTCCCTATTCAGAATTTCCATACATTAAGCTGACCGTTCTCTCTTATGTCTAAGTTTGCGTTGAAGTCTCCCATTAATACCGTATAGTGCGTTTTGGAGGAATGCATGGCTCTAGATATATCCTCACACATTTCCTCCACCTCCTCATCAGGATGTGCCGAGGTTGGTGCGTAAACCTGTATGGCCTTCAACAAATACCGTTTGGTAATTCCGAGTATAAGGCAACCTTCGTCGACACACTCCCAATCTTTACAACGTTGTTAACGAGAGACTTGTGTAAAATAAATCCGACACCTCCTTGGGACAGATGGTCGCCCTCCCGGTGATAAAACAAGTTGCCGGATTCGAGGATTACTGTGTCCTCCCCCTCTTTTCGGACCTCAGATAATTCTATAATATCCCAGCCAACTTGTCAGTGTCCGTAGTTTGATTATTTGTTCTAATCTAACAAGTGGGATGCGGGAAGTAAAGACTGTGTAAGAACCTTCGAAGGAGGCGGAGTTATAGCCGAAATATGAATTTTTCATTTTTTGGCTTTTGGCCATTTTGACTCCCTAAGAGTGTAATGAGAACTTTTTGCCCCTATTCAACCATGACCCCCATGACATCCTCTACATGATAGGCTATTCAAACTGATTAGGCCTAAAGTTCGAGTCCCCCCCCCCCAACTCATTTCTAGTCTTTACTTCTAAAAAAATTTACTTTCCCGCTATGTAATCTGCCAAATATTTTACCTCATGCGAGAGTGGTCATGGATGCCGTCATTGACGACGTTACAAGAGCTTTGCAGAACGATCGGTTATTAAAATAAGTAAATTAAACGCTTAAAAATCCGTAAAATTAGTTTTATCCAAAATATTGCGTATTTGAGTGCTTTGTGTTGTGTGTCAAAAAGTGTACAAATATTTAATCCGAAAACTCCTCTATACATCGCAACTTTCAAGTAAACTTGATGTAAAGTTTCATATCGTTTCATTCACCATAAATTTTGAGTTTTTGCTATTTTACTACGTTGAGTCGATTTTACGACATTCACTTTATTAATTATTACAATATAATATTACATTATTAAATTATTATTTCAAATAAAATAATACATACCACACCATTAGGATCCACGAGGAGCAAGTGTTTGTGTACACCACGTCTCGCTCCAGTCAATACAAACTGTCCTGGACACGCTGCTGATTCTCGAACTAAAAACTCGCCATCTTCAAGAACCAGCTACAAAATTGACATTTATTTATTGTTAAAAATGATTTGCTCATAAATATAAACACTAAATTAAAATCCTTATTCATTCCAATATCCTTATTACATAATTGTTTGAATTGTATTAATTATTATCAATGAAAGGGTAAGTTCTTCAAAAAAGGAAAAGCAGAGCAGGTAGTTGTATGAATGTGACTTATGTGAAAAATTAAGAAAAAAAGAACATATTTATCGACCGGCTTCAAAAAGGAGGTTTATAATTCGTCGGAATCTTTTTTTTATGTATATTCACCGATTACTCTGACTCCTGAACCAATTTTGAAAATTCTTTTTTGTTTCAAATGGTATAGATAGGGCTTCCCAGGCGGTTCCATTTAAATTTTATCGAAATCGGTCAAGTGGTTTAAAAAAAAAACAACAAATTACATTTATATTGAAGTCAGTTGTGCAAAATGTTTAATTTTACCACTAGTTCATTGCTGCAACTTGTAGAACAAAAAATTTACAAACAAAAAGAGGTATTGAGCATAAACCTTTTCGGCGGTGGTCCTGGAAATGGGTCCGTGGAACCAGGGTTCGACGGCCAGCAGGGCGGCTTGCGCCTGTGCGGACAGCGGCTCGTCGCCGCCCGCCGCCGCGCCCGCGCCCGCGCCCGCGCCCGCCCCCGCCCCCGACGAGGCCGAGGATGACGATGCGCACGGTGACGTCATCGGCGCCGCCGTGAACGGTTCTACATACATCACATTTTACTTGAATTGGATGCAGCACGAATGTGTCGACTCGAACTGGGAAGGAATACACTCGCCCAGAATATCACAGTAAAATGGCAGCATAATACTGCTGTATTTCATGTGTGTGTGTGACAAAAACCAGAAAGTATTTCATTTATATGGCATTTTATCATAGTTCATTAACACATTCACTGTCCGGTTTACAGACACAATAGTAAGACAATAAAAATGAACCATATATCGGTCACGGGACCTGTGAAAGTGCTAAGGACCCCAGAGAAGTAAATTAGAACGACTCCTAAGCTATCTGGGGCGATAACACATCTGCATTTTGATTTTTAATCTAGAATTGATTTAGATATATATAGGACACAGTATCCACTTATTATCAAGCGGACTATTTATTTCATTCATTTATTACAGTCTATTAAAGTCAAAAAATAAAAAAACATAAACCTCTCCATAGATTGCCCATATCCCCTATATTTACCATAGTTGTCAGGTTGCCATGCTTGGCAGGCGATTTCACAATCGGAATTTTCATAGTTCTAGTTATTATTAAAAATATGCTCCTGCCCATCTCCTGGTTTTTACCCTCTGTTGCCTCTTACGTACACCTATGAGTGTTATAAAGTGTTATCAGCAAACTACTGCTGTCAATCTCCTTTTGCATGTCTCACTGCAAAGGCGCTGTCAAAGGCGACAGGCCTTTTGTTAATGTTTTATTTACTTCCCAAGTTTATCAAGACAGCTCGCTAAATATTTTTATACGCCTAGTCAAACTCGGTCGCCAGGGTACAGTTTTATTAATAGTGGCTTTATCGTAACTCACGCATATCAAATATATCAGTGTGATGGTTGGGTAACAGAGCAGTAGGAGGAGTCCGTGGCGGAGGCGTTTGATTCACGTAGTGTCGGACACTTTCTTCGCATCTGAAATGTACGCATAATATGACAAATAAGAAAGTGTTAACCAAGCTACCAGGAACCAGAAGAGTGTAAATGTTGACTTGTTGTTCAAACTTACGAGGGGTGTTCAATGTATACTCGGTATTAGGGTGATTTGCAAATAATGTGAAAGGCAAGGAAAGCATTGAAGATGACTCGCACTCGAGTGGGCCAATGACAGCGGCTACAGAAGAAAATGTGAAATTATTGAAAACCTTGTATTAGAAGATGCATGACTAAGAATTAACATAACTTATCCGTTGGTACCTTACATACCATAATGCATGACTACTTCAACCTCATAAAAGTCAGTGCAAGATGGGTACCGCGAATGCTTACTGAACTTCGAAAGCAGGCGCGGGTTGCCTGTTGTAGGGATTTTTAGAGAGCTGTGTGGTGACGATCCAATAAGTGTTTTCGATAGGATAGTTACAGGAGATGAAACGTGGGTTCACCACTATGACCCTGATAGTAAAAAGAAGTCTATGCAATGACATAAAAAGGGATCAGACCAAGAAGTTCAAAGTCACTCCATCGGCCGGTAAAATCATGGCCACAATGTCTTGGGATTCCAAAGGAATACTATTGATTGAGTATACAAAAAAAAGGTGAAACCATCAACGCAGACAAATACTCAGCCACTTTACGCCGTTTGAGAGAAGCAATAAAAGAAAAGATAAGAGGAAAGCTGACCAAGGGAGTGCAGCTTCTTCATGACAACGCACCGATTCACATAGCGCGCTCTCCAAGGCTGCTGTACGAGACTGCAGGTTTGAGGAAATTAACCACCCACCATACAGCTCAAATCTAGCCCCTAGTGACTACTTTTTAATTCCAAACTTAAAAAAAGACCTTTAAGGAAAGCAATTTGCTGAAGATAATGCGCTCAAGTCTGCTGTAAATTTTTTAGGCCAAGACGAAGAATATTTTTTAATAATAGAAAAGCTTTTTTCACAGACAAGTAAATGTATTGACGTCATGGCAAACTATATTGAAAAATAAAAAAAATATTTCATAATTTTATCTTTATTCTAGCACACCCATACCGAGAATACATTGAACGCCCCTCGTATTTACACAATAATATACCAGAACCCATTTTGTCCATTATTTTTGTTGTAACTGACCACATAACAAGTTTATTCTGTATATTCATTTTATATCTATTTAAATTTACATGCAGTACCGTTACTTTTACAGTCTATCTATCAAAAGGTCTGGACTTAGAACTCCCCCATAAAATGTCTCATAGGGAGATGTTTTTCACGCTTGGCGGACGCGCCGGCAAACGTTATTTAAGGGGTTATTACGAAGACACCGTTGCCCATCTCTTGGTCTGTTAGCCCCCGTCGTCTCGAACGACACCCACGGGACTGTAAGGGTATACAGTACACTAAGTATTATTTGATGTTAGTTTGATTTAAGCCCTACAGAAAGTATGCCAGATTTTTTTTGTCGGTAAGGTAAAATATTGTCGTGGTTTTAGTTTTAGAGACATGGTTACACCATGTCTCTAAAACTAAATCTTAGCTTGCCTCCAATCTAATACTACTATTACTATTTCTATATTTGCGTATATACACATTCTTGCGCCGTTAACATCCTCCTATAATTCAGATTCGAATTCGTCTCGATAGCTCAGTGGCTAAGCATTCTGTTGCGGCGCTGCAAAGTCGCGGATTCAAATCCCGCATGGAGGAAGTATTTCAATGGCCTGAAAGTAATAATTCCGGGTCTGAATGTCTGTCCATGTGCAACTTATGTATGTAAACGCCTCCGTAATATATGAGAAAATCTTACTGTAGGTGTAACGTTTTTATATAAAAAAAACAAGTAGTATAATAAAAAAATTTGTACAACCGACTTCAATATAAATAAAATGAAAACATCATCAATGTAGTCGAAGTCAATTAAATACGCATTATTAAGGATAACTCAAAAACCACTGGTTAGATCTTGATCAAATTTATATGGGACCACATGAGAAGCACCAAGCTTTCAAATAAAAAAGAATCATCAAAATCGATTCACCTAAAGTTCTGTGTTAACCCACAAAAAAAATACAGTCGAATTGATAACTTCCTCCTTTTTTTGAAGTCGGTTGAAAAATAAGGTCAGATGATATCTTAGTCAAAGTTTTATAATATGTCAGATGGTCACGTTGAGCAGAGTCTATCTAGTTCAACAATTACGGCATTTCCGTTCCATTTGCCAGAGACTCATGTCAAGTAGAGCATAGTTTGTTTTTATTTTACTCTTCAGCTCACCTGCAGGTTGTATGGAGAGATACTTACGATGATATAGGTGCTAGGGAGGCTAATGGTGGCGGCGGCGGGTGACGATACGTCGGTGTGGGATCTGGCGGGATTTTGTCGGGCAAATCATTGTAATATTCACGATCGTCCATCGCCGATGTCGATGTCGGTGCCTCGCCTGAACACAGCGGACGTGATCCATTAAGGTTCAATCTGTAAATATAAAAAAAAAATATCCTAAGTGTTGTTATCAACTTTGTACAATTCCTATACATGCTACATACTAGACTTGTACCGATTGAGAGTACACTAATTGTTATTTAGGTTTAACGATTTCAATACCAAGATATCTCACAATGTTTCTTTAGTTTTGGACATCAATCTGGATATTACAGGTAATGCATTTATTTATATTGAGGTATTGTGTGAAATGTAAGATGCATTGTATTTTAATAATGTGGTCCATGTCGTTATGTTAAATATAACATTTGTTCCTCTGACCTAATATGTCAGGGGAAATTAACACTGTAAATAAAATTAATATACATTTATAATATCCCCCTATGGGACTAACTGCATTGTTTGCTATTTTAATTGTTATCAAACAGGGTCTCAGTACATTTATTAATCTGAAACAATTTTTTATATAAGACTATCTAAGAATAGCTAACAACATTATCAGTACAAAAATAATAAGCCAAAAATTCAAAAATATATAAATGCAGGTAAAGAATATGCATATGCAATTGCATTACTTATAGAACATTTAAATTTAGTATTTAAAACCAGTGATGTAGGTGTGTATCTATTAGTCATCAGACCCCAAAATTTTGTAAGAATATTCAGTGTATATTACATGTGTTAATTTTATAGCATATAGATAACATAATTACGTCTCAGTGGCTTTTGCAGCGCTGGGGTCTCGGGTTAGAATCCCGCATGGAATAAGTATTTGTATGGCCTACAAATAATTGTTCCGGGTCTGGATGTTTGTCCTTGTGCAATTTATGTTTGTAAACTGCCTCCACAACACAGGAGAAGATCCTAGTCCATACTAGGATCTTCTCCTGTGTTTACTTACTATTGAGTAACTTTTTTTTAAATAATAAATAAATTTAGTGTAGGTATGTTGCGGCCCCTCTAGCTAAAGGGCTCTTAAAGATATAGCTGGTATTTATTTATTTACACTTCATTGTTATCACCTTTTTAATTAAGGTGATAACAATGGGTTACAAAGGGCAGCGAGTTAAGGTTTGGTGTGTTGAAATATAATGGCAGGTGCCATTATATTTCAACACACCTACTACAACTACTTAATTTTATTAGGAATTCCCAAATTGATTTTTACACATACTAAATACGTATACGTCGTTCACACACTATAGTACTCGTATTGAAAGATTATAAAATTTACAAAGTACAAAATATAATAATAATAATAATAAATAAAACAGTATTTATTTGCCAAAAAAAGGTTGAAATTTAAATAAATAAGTTATAACAAAACGGTCTGGACTCAGTTGTAACGGGAAACCCTTTACTCCTGCTATTCTGCCACAGCCTTTGCGCATTAACTATACAGAGTCTTAGGCAAGTGGTGAAACACACATATCTTAAAATAAAACTACATAAACAAAAATGTTCACTAATTTGAGTGTGTATCAGAGCCACACAGAGCCAGAGACTGTTGTTAAACAGCCACTTGCAGCATCTCTCATCATCTTGCTGGAGGGTAGATGGAGATAGGTTAAAATGGTGGTAGCAAATCATTCCAGATTTTAGCAGCGGCGAATTTAAAACATACGCGCTCCAGCGAGTCTAATCCTGGGTAGTGGAAGCAATGACTTTTCTCTGACCGAGAGCAAGCTTTTTTCAATATCATACAAGTAACAAGGAGATGCTGCGTAATGCAGTGTGTGCAGTAAGCACGCATATTTTAACGTGGTACTATAAGATATATATTATCTCTGCATTATCAGGTGAGTAAGAGGATTGTGAAAGACCCCCCTTCACCGATGCTCGTCTCAGTTAGAGGTAACACAACCACACACAATTTACAAATCAATCTTTGTTAATTAAAATAAAATTTTAAATATTTAATTTTTTTGAAAAGAAATCATTCCCTCACGTCCGAATACTGTCTCCGACAACGCCTCTAAAGGGAACCACAGGGCTCCCGCCACACGCTGTATATATATACATATAATGTGTGTGTGTGTGTGTGTGTGTGTGTGTGTGTGTGTGCGTGCGTGTGTGTGTGTGTGTGCGTGCGTGCGTGCGTTCGTGCGTGCGTGCGTGCGTGCGTGCGTGCGCGTGTGTGTGTGTGTGTGTGTGTGTAAAATGCTTTAGTATTATATAAATTAACATGCTATATTGATGTTACATAAGCTTTTTGGTGACGACGTGTTTAAAACCATATGTAGTCGAATTAAAGGGATCTATATCAGAAAATGTGGTGTTGTAATTATGTAATATTCTAGACATAATTGAGTTTGATGAATAACTGGTAAGCGACAAAGGTACATGAAATAAACGTTTATTTGTGTGACGAGTGCGCATTGAAGGTAGATTAAGCGATATCATCAATAGCAGCTCTGGAGAATCTATTTGACCTGTGAGCAATCTATGCAAAAATAACATATCGAGCAACTCGCGCCGATCTCTTAATGGTAGAAATCCGTAGGAACGACAGCTATCTTCGTAGATAACACAAATTTGACGCATTTTGAAATTTAGTGATTTTTTTCTGGATGGATTCAATGGCATCAATATGCTTTGTGTACTGTGGAGACCATACACATTTCTCACAATAATTTAAAAAAATATTGTTGTGGTGTATATCATACTACAACAACAACTAACAACTGAAAGTGTGTTAAAAAAATAATAGGAGTAAATGATTATTCATGCAGTATATGACTAGTAATGATAAAGGTATGACATCATAAAAGGAAAATTAGTAAAAAAATTTTAGTGGTAACTTACGATGACGGTTTCGTTAGAAATTCTTTGAATCGTAATTCGAAAGCTTGTCCAATGGTTGCGATCACATCTTGCGCTAACATTCCACCGCACTCCAGTACATAACATGCACGCCATTCAGTGGGTGGTGCCGCCTTTGCTACATATGCAACAAAATCTAAAGAATCTGAGTCACCGCCTGATGCAAATGAAACTCGCGGCATGTCATGACGAGCGATGGTGTCCCCGCCTTCTAGAGCGGCTATGGTTATAGCTTTTGAGGATATTGTTAGTGCAACATTGGAGCCTGAATGAGACATTCGTGGTTTGGCCGCGAGTGCACAAGCGGCCGCTTGGCTAATACGTCGCTTTTTATCAGCTGATCTTAAACCTGCTGCAGCACAAACTCGTGCTATACATTCTCTGTAAACAATATAATATAATACAATATTACTTATTTATACATTGCTTAATATACTTGTATTAGAATATTTGTATTCATCATCATGATCATCATAATTCAGCTCATCACAATTCCACTGCTAAACAAAGACATTCCCCTACAGATTACATTAGACACAGAATGACGGTGGTAGAGCCTTGCAGCAGCTTTTGCTGTTGCACGTATGGGCCGGCTCGAGCCGGGTTAGTACCACGACCTCACAGAATACCGGCGTGAAGTGGAAGCTCTGCTTCCGCGTTTCGTCTGGTGAGTGCAGGTGACCGGAGGCCCAATTCCCCCCCCCCCATCAACATGGTAGCGGAATTACGTCATGAACTACCTCAGGAGTGTACCAGTACCCCTGGAGAATCCCTCGCTGAGCATCCACGACCATGCTATTCCACTCCTGAGCGTGGGTGCTCAGGCTGCCCCGCGTATTCTGGGGGGGGCAAAATTCCGCTCAACACAATAACTGCTCGGGGCAAACTGAGCAACAAGACCAAGGCGACCCCTGCCACGCTATCCGTGAATTTCTGCAACATCAGGGGACTTCACTCGAACCTAAACGCCGTCCACTACCATCTTGAGACGGCGAAGCCGGCCTTGCTCTTTCTGACCGAGACGCAGCTGTCCTCTCCGGCTGATACTTCGTATCTCTCCTGCCCGGGGTACAAATTGGAGCACTCCTTTGTGCCTCGGGCTGGAGTTTGCGTGTATGTCAGAGAGGACATCTGTTCTCGACGCCTCGGCAGTCTTGAAGGTTCGGACCTGTCCATCCTTTGGCTACGCGTAGACAGCGACGACCATCCGCGCGTCTACGCGTGCCTCTATAGGTCCCATAGCGGTAATGCCGAAACAGACCGACTCATCGACCACGTCCAAATGGCTACAGATTCCTTGCTACAACAGGTCCCATCCGCAGAGATCGTGATCCTTGGCGATTTTAACGCCCACCACGCCGAATGGCTCGGTTCACGTTTAACCGATCATGCGGGGAGATCTGTTTATGACTTTGCCTTGGCATATGGTCTGACACAACTGGTTACATCGCCTACGCGGATTCCAGATGTTGAGGATCATACACCTTCCCTGTTGGACCTTCTGCTGACCTCTCATCCGGACGGATATCAGGTTTCCGTCGATGCCCCTCTTGGCTCTTCGGACCATTGTCTGATCCGGAGTGTGGTGCCACTCACGCTCCCCTCGCGGTTGCAATCTGCAGGTTGCCGCCGTGTTTGGCATTACAGGTCGGCGGATTGGGACGGAATGCGGTCTTTCTTTGCTTCCTACCCATGGGGGCGGGTTTGCTTCTCGCCGGATGATCCCAGCGCTGTTGCTGACTCTGTCACTGATGTGGTGCTACAGGGAATGGAACTATTTATTCCATCATCTGTGGTACCTATCGGAGGCAGATCTCAGCCTTGGTTTGGTCGCTCCTGTAAGACTGCATTACGCAGTAAGCAGGAGTGTTATCAAGCCTGGGCTGCGGCTTCGGTGACTCGGGATGTAAACACCAGCACACTCAAAAAGAAGTATAACTTCGCCTCCAGGTCCTTCAAAAGAGTTATTGCCAAGGCAAAGTCAGAGCACATAGGCAGAATTGGCGAGAAACTAGTTCGCCTTCCTTCGGGAACCCGTGCATTCTGGTCTCTCGCCAAGGCTGTCCAAGGGAATTTCTGTAAGCCATCACTACCATCTCTGCACAGGGAGGACGACTCACTGGCCTACGACGCAAAAGAGAAGGCCGACCTTTTAGGCTCCCTTTTTGCGTCCAACTCGACTGTTGATGACGGGGGGAACACACCGCCGACCATCCCGCGGTGTGAGTGCTCCATGCCGGATGTGCGGTTCTCACAGCGCTCGGTTCGCAGAGCACTCCTCTCCCTTGACATCCACAAGTCGAGTGGGCCTGACGGAATCCCCCCAATTGTGCTGAGGACGTGTGCTCCGGAGTTGGCACCGGTCCTAACGCGTCTTTTCCGGTACTCCTACTCCCAAGGCGTAGTCCCGAGTTCATGGAAGACAGCTTTTGTCCACCCAATCCCTAAAAAAGGCGACCGCTCAGACCCGTCCAACTATAGGCCTATCGCGATCACCTCCTTGTTCTCCAAAATAATGGGATCCATTATTAACTGCCAGCTCATCCGGTACCTTGAGGATCACCAGCTGATTAGTGACCGCCAATACGGTTTTCGTCGGGGTCGATCAGCTGGTGATCTTCTGGTCTACCTGACCCATAGATGGGCGGAGGCAGTAGAGTCCAAGGGGGAGGCGTTGGCCGTTAGTCTGGACATTGCGAAGGCCTTCGATCGGGTTTGGCACAAATCGCTTCTTTCGAAGCTCCCTTCCTGTGGGCTTCCCGAGAAATTATGCAATTGGATCACCAGCTTTCTTACAGATCGGAGCATCAAGGTCGTTGTAGACGGTGCATGCTCCGACTACAAGCCTATTAACGCTGGTGTTCCACAAGGCTGCGTGCTATCACCAACGCTGTTTCTTCTGCATATCAATGATATGTTGCAAGCCGGTAGCATTCATTGCTATGCGGATGACAGCACTGGTGATGCTCTATACACCGGCCGTGCCAATATTTCTCGGGAAAACGTCACTGAGTACCGGAACAAGCTTGTGTCTGAAGTCGAGTCTTTGCTGGACAAAGTCTCGGATTGGGGGCGACTAAATCTAGTCCAGTTTAATCCTCAGAAGACACAAGTTTGCGCGTTTACCGCTAAAAAGAGCCCCTTTGTCGTATCTCCTCAGTTTCAAGGTACTCCCCTAGTTGCCTCAGCCAGTATCGGAATCCTCGGCGTCGACATATCGAGTAGCGTGCAGTTTCGTGGTCACTTGGAAGAGAAGGCCAAATTGGCCTCTAAAAAGCTTGGCGTGCTCAGCAGAGCGGGACAGTATTTCATGCCGGCTCAACGCCTGCAACTTTACAAGGCGCAGGTTCGGCCTCACATGGAATACTGTTCCCATCTCTGGGCTGGGGCTCCCCAGTGCCAGCTTCTTCCACTTGACCGCATCCAGCGCAGAGCGGCTCGAATCATCGACGACAGAGTCCTTTCCGATCGGCTCGACTCATTGGCACTGCGAAGAGATGTTGCATCTCTTAGCATTTTCTTTCGCATTTACCATGGGGAGTGCTCTGAGGAATTGTTCGGATTAATCCCAGCCGCCAAATTTCACGAACGCACATCGCGGCAGAACTCTCGATACCATCCACACCATCTGGATGATTGGCGGTCCACCACTGTGCGATTTAGAAGATGTTTTCTTCCTCGCACAACTTCCTTGTGGAATAGTTTACCACCAGCGATTTTTCCGGACCGATACGACTTAGGGACCTTCAAGAAAAGAGCCTACTCCTTTTTAAAAGGCCGGCAACGCACCTGCAAAAAAAAACAAATTACAATCTTGAGTCACCTGTATCCATTTACTCCCTGTATTTCTCATCGGGTAATCACTTCATCTAGTGGGGGTCAGTTTATATTGTGCTTGCATTATATTTAAGGCTACATTCAAGGGAGATTTTTCCTCATCCTCAATGTCAATATCAATTTTATCATGCGAAGTAATAACCCCTGAAGATAGCCCTCGCTTCTTGATTGACTTTTTAAAAAAGCATTGAAATATCTCACTAAAGTATTCAACTATAATCATTATAAGTAGTATATTATTAATTATTATAGGTGTAAAAATGTAATTATATCCTGTCTCCTGAAATTACTCCAGCATTTACTTCTAGCCTTTACTACTGTAGATATGAAGGTGTTTTTCATAACTTATGCAGCTTATTATGTACAAATATGAATATACTTTTGCCTCTTTGAATTTTAAAACACTTTATTGTTTTATTACTTACAAAAGGACATAAATATAATTATTGTTTTTAAAATTAATCATACAACTTTAAGACCAAAATGATAATATTGAAATATAAATTGTTTTTTAAAACTGGATGTGATGTGATAGTATTCATGAACTTTGAAACTTTCTAATGTTATTGGTTAGGCAGTACAATTACATCAGACATAGTTGTTTTTCAACCAATGAGCCTTTGTTTGTATTATAGAACTGTCACACTATAGTATGGTCTCATTGTTCACTGTTAATAATTACTAAATATATGAAAAGTGTAGTAATGACAATTATGGGCAGAATTATTAATCCATATGAACTGCAGCAATTTTAGCAAACCCTCTCAACGATAGGAATGAGTCATTACCGCCAGTAGACTTTAAAGTGGTGAATTCACTAGAAGGATATGCCCACAGGCATGTCTGTAGACATGCCTCCCAGACTTCGCTACTATAGGTCTATGCTATTTGATAGTGTAGGACCATCGCAGTTGGTCTGGCAGATTTACCTGTTAATCATACGCGCAATCTCATTTCCTCTGCACAGGTACAGACATGATCGAATGTGAATGTTAACTTCAGGCTGCCTGTTCACATACACAAGAGCGACAGCAGCCAGTGCAGACGGTCTTTTATTATTATTTAATGAAATTTGGAGATTCTTTAATTTGCAATGAGTTTTAATGATAGTAAAATGTTCTGGGAAGAGAATAAAATATTCTGAGAAGTCTATCAGTTGTAATAAAAATTTATATCTATGTGCAAGTAATTGTACAGGTCTCCTGGTTCATCAATTTCTAATTCTTTAAGTAAATTGATATGGCTAAACTTATTTCTATTTTTATACAATTCATTGCACTAAATTTTTTTCTCTTTCTTATCATTGGACATTATTAATGCAGCACTATTGCAATTTTTCGTCATTTCGTGGCCATCTTAATGTGCACGCACAACTAATCACATAGCGGATCTAAAACAAACTGATGAGTCTGTGTAATGTATTGTGGTGACAGACATATACGGACAAACAACCCGTAGGCATGTCCATCTAGTGAATTTCCCGCTTTCGGGGTTGATGCAAAATAATAGTATAATTTTAAGTCATTATTTATTATACATTTTATAAATAAGTAACTAAATACACAATTATCTCTAAACCACTGATCCACAGTGAAACATCAAAGTCTTCTTTAGCTCCAAATCATTAAAGAATGGAGTAAACTCAAAATGTAAATTATTTTATTTTATACAAATAATGGTATCAAACAGGCATACTGTCCACCTACTGCTAAGTAGGTGCTGTATATAGTAGTGTATCTTTGCTTAAGAATTAAAATGCAGATGTTATTTGAGCCTGAGCATTTGAATGGAATGCCTTATTACTAGTAACGAGTCACTAGTTTTGCCACTAATTATTATAAACACAGCAGCATTAGGTAATGTTGTTATCCTCATTCACAGAAAGGTTTAATTATTTGTTTCATCATATTGTATTTTCCATCTATGTGATTTTTGTAATCTTTACAAAAAATAAATGTATTCAACAGTAACCATATTCAGTCCTTAACCAGTCAGACCAACCCATTCATGCTTCAGCCATAATTTAACTGGACTGCACTGTGGCTCTACCACATATGCCATGTATTTGTTAGATGCTCATTAGTAAAATTTTAATTTGTAATCTGTGTGATGTCATTGCATTGTTTACGAGTTGGCACACCAATCAGTGTTAGTTAAATTAAACGACAAAGAGAAATATTTTTTCCTTTAGTCATTTAATTCATACTAAAACATTAATTTTCAAATTTTTCTTAAAAATATTAAGCCACACATGTCCACACAAGCCACAAAAATGTCTATAGTTATTTAGATATAACAATCAGCAAAACCAAAGATCTAATCAATAAGACAGTTAAAGGAGCATTGGTTATAAAAAATTACTAATTAGTATTCACCAACAGTTGATAAAATGTTATTACATAAACGAAAAACAGTCTTACTTACTTTGCAACTTGAGATCGAGTATCAAAATCTAACTTTTTCATTGAAGTTAATACTTCCATACATCCTATGTACTGAAAATAAAAACCCAATTTCAGGCAAATATAAAGTTATGCATATACTATTACGTAAATTAATGAATCAAAATGATCATACAGTCTACTTACTCTTACGGCGTAAGTTATACCATCACTGGCTAGAATTGAGTCTGGATGAAGCCAGCCCCTCGCCGGCTTAGCAACAAAAGACGAATTTTCTGCCATTTCAAGAAAGTCGCGGCCTTAATATAACTAAGGATTAATCGCGCAAAAGTACAACTTTACACTTCACCTATTTCTAGTTATTCTAAATACACTTTCATGACGATCCAAATTATTGATACGGAATGTAAACTTCATTACAATCAACTTGTTATAGTTCGCAATTTATGTTCATGTATTCCAAACGATTCTCACCAGATTATAGAAACAATTATGTAAATATTGACATTTTAATTTTATGATAAGTAACTCAACACAAACAATAACTTCTGTATTTTTAATGTAGAAAAGCACAAAAAACGTTCATTCTTCACAAAAGTTACAACTTTTTGACAAGTTAACCATAGACCATAGATGAAGTGTGATCTTCTATGGTGTGATGTGATACTTCATTGTGGGTGTGATCGTTGACCTAAGATATGGAGTGTAGAGTAGAAGGAGAACCATCTTATAAGGAGCGAAGGTTGAAAAAGTGTCCTACTATTTACTGTAAATAGAGGTTCGAAAACCTACCACAATAGCGCTGGCGTCTGAAAAACTACGATATGAAGATAGCTGTTATGAACGGAGTGAAGTCAGCTGAATTCAAATATTTCATGACTAGAGTAGTTAGTAAAACGCCAATATACAAAATCTCAACTATTTACGTAGTACAAAACCAAGCGGATTGATCGGTCCTTATTTATTTCTCCATCTTACTCTAAATAATTTTGGCGCTTCTTTTTTAATTTATCCTATGCTACTGCAGCGCCACCCTTATTGGACACGTTTTTAGGGACACTTTTCATATACAGAGATGTATTGTACTTTTCGTATACTCTACACTCCATAACCTAAGAAAAAGAGAACTCTTTGGTCATTAAGTGTGATGTGTGATCCAGAAGTATAGTAATTTTCTAGGCAGTGTTCTAGGAAGGTTCTAGGCATAGACTTAGGATTCCTAAGTCTATGGTTCTGGGAGTGTGACATAATTTTTTGGAGACAACCCCTTATGATTACCCTAGAATAAATATTTAGCATAAATCCTAATAATTTTAAAACGTCAAATAATTGATTCTTAGTTATAAAGTGATGGGTTTTTTTGGATATTTAGGCAGTTGGCAGTTTGGGTTAGGGCTGTATCATTGTTATTTTTAAAATTGTAGCACACATATTCTTTTTCCTTTTCATGTGTAAAATTCCCTTTCACTTGTGCGAAATCTATCCTAATGTGGGGTCCACAACTTTTTCTGCCACCAGGGTGGCGCCGCTTAAAAATGAGACACAATATTTGACAGGTTTTATAGCGGGAAAGTTAATTTTTTCGAAAAATGTAAAGGTTAATGGTTATTTTCTGTAAAAATTTCTGTTAAAATTTATATTAATTTGATAAAAAATAAATACACCAAACCACAGATATTCATAAACGTACAAAAATTAAAAAAAGAGTTAAAAATTTGCAAAAAATTTACGAGAAAACCACTGAGCCATTGTTTTGTGTATTGATATATTTCTCTAGAAACTGATAAACTTTTATTTAAAACTAACTTCCAAATTAAATTACATTTTGTATCAAAAAACTTAACCTCAGTGGCAACTAGTGACATCTGGTGAGTGGAAGATTATTAGCCCTCATTGACCTTGATAATTTTTATCCTAACCGTGAACTCCAAGGCAACTTTCTTATTGCCATTATTATCTATTGTTAGACTTCTTCCCTCGTCTTCCACAAACAGTCTTATAAAAATGGATTTTAATTAGAATTTATACACAATAATCATCATCATCATCATCATTACAGCCCTTCACAAGTCCACTGCTGAACATAGGCCTCCCCCAAGGAATGCCACAAAGCACGGTCCTGAGCCACCTGCATCAATCGACTTCCTGCATATCTTACCAGGTCGTCACTCCATCTAGTGGGGAGACGCCCTACAATATTTATACACAATAGCCACAATTTGTACAATTTTTTGTACAAGGGTATGTATTGCCGAAGGGTATGTATGTGGTCTATGGTGCTAAAGCCTTTTCGGAAACCGGCTTGTTCGGGAGGCTGGAAGTCGTCAAGTCTGCGCGCGAGGCGATTCGTAATGACCCTCGAAAACAGCACGTAGACGCGGCTCAGAAGGGAAATCGGTCTGTAGTTCTTCAAGAGAGCGTTGTCGCCTTTCTTGAAGAACGAGACCACCGAACTCCACGCCTCCGGTGTAATGTCACCATGGAGGACGGAATTAAAGAGCTTCTGAAGGACTTTAAGTACCGGTTTTCCACCCGCTTTCAGAAGCTCCGCTGTAATTCCATCCTCGCCTGGGGCCTTGCCGTTTTTAAGGTGCTGGAGAGCCATTCTAATCTCGCTCAGACTGACGTCCGGGATATCATTGGAATAGTGTCGGATAAGACTCGCTCTTGGATCGTTACTTACACTTGCGTGTGGCTCCAACGATGATGTATACAGCTTCCCATAGAACCTCTCAGTCTCACTCAAAATCTCAGGTGTCCCGGAAACGACGCTGCCACACTCGGTCTTCAGCTTCGGCAGTTGGCTCTTTCCAGCAGACAGATCTCTAGCAAAGACTTTGGAGCCCTGGTTCCGCTCGATCGCTTTTTCAATACGAGCAGTATTAAAGTTGCGTAAGTCCCGCCACATGCATTTGGAGATCTGTCTGCTCAGTTGCCTGTATGCTGTCAAATCTACTGAAGACTGCATCTTCATATCCCGTCTAACAACCGTGAGATTAAGAGTGTGATCGGAGAGTTTTTGTGTTCTTCTGCGGTGGGACTTGCAAAACTTAGCTCCGACCGCGTGGACAGTTTCCACGAGCTTGTCATTCATATCGTCCACTTTATTGCAATCTTCTAGGCACTGAAACCGGTTTCGTAGCTCGAGCTGAAAGGTTTCGGGACTTTGGATTAGAGCACGAGGGGGACGGAGCGTTGACTTCATTAGACGAGACCTCTCTTAACGTTTAGGTTCAGTGTGACTTTCACCATTCGGTGATCGCTGCTGGTTTTCACTTTCGCGATCACTGAGACATCACTGAACAGTTGTTGTCTGGTCGTCATAATGAAGTCAATCTCATTTTTTGTCGAACCGTCGGGGCTCGACCAGATCCACATCCTGTGGGGCCGCTTCTGGAAGAAAGAGTTCATCATAAAAAGTCCCTCTTTCTCCATGAAGTCGGCCAGCTGCTGGCCCCTTGGGTTCCGTTGCCCTATTCCGAATTTCCCTACTTTCAGCTCACCGTTCTCTCTTGTGCCTAGTTTTGCGTTGAAGTCACCCATTAACTCCGTATAGTGGGTTTTAGAGGAATGCATGGCTCTAGAGATATCCTCATACATTTCCTCCACCTCCTCATCGGGGTGTGCCGAGGTTGGTGCGTAAACCTGTATGACCTTCAGCGAATACCGTTTGGTGATTCTGAGTATAAGGTACGCAACCCTCGTCGTCACACGCCCAATCTTTACAACGTTGTTAACGAGAGACTTGTGGACGATAAATATGACACCTCATTGGGACAGATGGTCGCCCTCTCGGTGATAGAACAAGTTGCCGGATTCGAGGATTACCGTGTCCTCCCCCTCTCTTCGGACCTCAGATAATCCTATGATATTCCAGCGCAACTTGTCTATCTCTTCTTCCAGCTCCAGGACCTTCTCATCAGTCCTCAGGGTGCGTGCGTTATAAGTTGCCAGGTCGAGTCGTCGTAGGTGGCAACCGAACTTCCACTGGAGATACTTAGCACCCCCTGCCCCGCCATTACCATGGTCGCCACCGTAGCCAGGAATAGCGGGGCCGCCGGGGACTGGGGGCTATCTCTTCGTTACTCTCATGAGGGGTATATTGCCACAGTTGCCACGCCTGGCGAGCGGGTTGGCAACCGCAGTTTTTTTATTGCTGTTTTGCTATTATCAGAAAGATGCTGCTGCCCATCCTCTGCCTCAGTTTCCCTCTGTCGCCTCTTACGACACCCACGGGAAGACATGGGGTAGTGAGTATTCTTTCCCGCCACTACACGAGACCACCCATCAAAAACCTAATTAATACGGTACAAAGTAGAGCCATATACGTGTCAAATTTACCTGCGTTGTTATATTATCTCTAAATGTTTAAGGATTTTTTAAATAAATAAAGAAAGAAAAAAAGGATATGATTTTGGACAACAACGGTCACAAAAGTCTTTAGCTAAATGTAATACGGAAATAAAGAAAACATAAAAAACTTCATGATATGCATTATTTTTTTATATAAATCAACAATTTATTTATTATTAAACTACAATAGTAAAAAAATTGTGTACAAGAAACATTCTAATTTGTGGCATTTGTGGGCAACAGTTAGTGACGATCTCTTCTGCTTCTGTCACTTCTGTTTCCTTGATATTTCTGTCCTCAGCCGCATTCTTCAGTCATAGTCACAGGTAGAGTTATGTATGCACACAGACCTACATATTAGGTACACCTATACTTGCAAACAAACAAGCGCGTCAATTCACTGAGGTGTGTCTCAGTGTTTTCAGTTGACTTCGATTCATCGACGATGGCAGAATTGCTAGAGGACTTTAGCACCTCCTGACTTCAAAGGTGTCTCCCAACGGAAAGGACATGGACATGTACTCGTACGAAACAAAGACTATGTATAACGTCCACGTCACAGCTAGTTATTGGGAACACTACTATGCTCGAAATTGTTGAAGAGTATGATGTATAGGACACGCAGGAAAAATTGTCCGACTAAGTAAGTCCAACTTCGACCAAGATGTCAATCTACGTGTCCAACTTAGCTGGGCAGCGTTCGCGAGATTATACATCTCGTCACGTATTCACCAAAACTTAAAAAAGAGAGTGTAAAACTAGTGCTTTACACTCTCTTTTTTACTCTGTTTTGTTGATCTGAAACGTGGTTCTACACCACTAGTCTTATGGGGAAGCGTTAGGTCGCTCAGCGAGCTATACAGAGGGATCAGTAGTTGGCACAATATGCTGTGCCGATACTGTGCAGTTTAGTGGACTACTGATTCCTC